TATATTCAGTCGTAAGACGTGAGACTAGGAGTTTTGAGGATAACAAAGAAGTCCAAATTTCCCCCCTTGGAAACAATGTGAGTAATCAACGGTTCTGCGCAGGGAGGAGAAAGAGACTGGTTGGAATGTCTTTGGATTCACAGGCTTTGGCATTTTGGGAAAACCATTCAATAGCATTACTTTTTTTCCTGTCTGCAAAATGCGCCCTTGTCCTTCATACTTGACGGACAAATGAGGACAAAACATACAAACTAACACAAAGGAAAACCTTCAACAGTGATGGAGTATACTCTTTTTTCCCCCTTAAGCCTATACACATAATAGTTGTCAATATACATGGACTTATACTTACCTGACTGGTGGCTTCATGTTTTGCTACACTAATGAATATGTTCCCCTCTGGTGTTTCCTGGAGACACACGTACACAAAGCCAAATTTAAGGTTCTCCAACTGGAAGAACTTGGACTTTTGAGTAAGCTATGAAGACCTTGGACATAATGTTTGTGCTGTGAGCTATTGTTCTGGAAGGACAAAATGGCACACAACCGTGGGGCTTCCTCCCAGGAAACCAGCAGAGCCAAGGAAAGAAGGTTAATCTCAGGGCTCAGAAACTGACATAAAGCTTGGGGGGACCTCATGGGGAGCGTGAAGATGGATGGCGGCCTCCCCATATGGCGGGAGGGTCGAGTGCCCTCTCCTGCAGTCCTTCCTCGGGCTATCTGTATATCTCTTTCCCACGTGTTTCAAGCCCTAAAGGTGTTTTTTCAGTGCCATAACTTTATTTGTGGGTGCAGTTTGAGTATAGGATAATCATGAGCTCCGAAGAGTGTTCTGCTTGAATATGAACTGTGTGATTTATCCCAAAGTTTCTCAAGAATGGTGACCTCTCCACCTTCTGCACCCATCGCTAACCCACTCTCAGATCTGCTCTTCCTCCTTTAGCAAGGGCGATGCGCTTCCGTGACACCAAATTTTAACATTGCGTTTTGTGGACATTCATTTGTTTCAACTTGTGTAAATTACCTTGGTATGTTTTCCTATCTGTGAAGTGATGTGGGTCGCTTGGGTTGGGCTGGAAAGCTCATTATTTTCCCCAGTAAAATTTATGAAAATGTTTTTCCCATAACAGTTTTGTACATAGTGGCAAGGCTTTGGGGAAATGAATTACAGTGATTAGGTGAGGAATAGGTGCACTTGGGTGGAGGAAGGAGACTTCAGTCTCTCTCATTACATGATTATGCCAACAACATATTAAGCCCACGTAGCTCCCGGAATTTCTTAGACAAAAGACATGTTTTTCAAGTATGAATAAAGAAGGTGTTGCATCAATGTTGGCATATTTGAATCTGAACAGACGCTTTTGGTGAAGAACTTTCAGGAATCTCTGATTTGCTGCTTGTGAGGGTCTAGAGGCAACTTGACTGCTAGTCCCGGGAAGCGTGAGGCTTGCCAGGCAGAGGGCGAGGCCTGCTGTGCTCTGGCCGTTCCTCCTGGGCCGCAGCGGGCAGGCGTGTGACCGTGGGGCATGGTGACACACGAGCGCATTCATTATACAACGGCTTAAGGTTTATGCTGACTGAACGCTAGCATTTATGGGGAAATCGCGCAGGCCTTTGAGCCAGAAGAGTGACTGCTGGGATTAGGCCATGGAACACATGGAGATGCCGCCTTGCCTTTCCATTTTGGCTGCAAGTGCGTGGTAATAAACGTGAGTACATGGCTGGGGGATGGGGTCAGGAGAGATGAATACACCCTTAAGTAGATATAACAACCTGACTTAGATATCAACCTTGATTTCATCAGCTCTTCGTGGGAAAGCTGGAGGGAAGTGGTGCAACAGGGGATTTGAATACGACAGGCGCAGCTCCTGGGCGCTCAGCACTCCTGGGTGAAGAACACCCAACTATTCCGTCTTGATTCCATGTGGCTGCTGCGCCTTCACTGATTTCAGTATTTCACTTCTACGAAGTAGGAGCAAACCAAAGATTGTGTGTGGTTGGGGGCTGGGTAAGCCACACAGTGGGGGCTTGATGTGGGAAGGGGCTGGCAAGGCCTGGTGGCTGACCCGAAGCCTTCCGTGGCTAGTGCAGGGGGCGATGGGGGTCTAAAATTTTTCTAGACGTGGCTCTATTCACACCTACAGTAGAAAGAGAAAACATCAAATGACCATGTCAGTGGACATTTGTATTTGTTTTATTTTGGTAACTTTGAAGGAAGCCGATCTCCGAAGTCACCAAAAAAAAAGACAAAAACCAAAACCAAAAGTGACCTTGAAGAGGTCACGAGGGTTACCAAAGAAGGGGCAGGGGTGTGGCGAGAATGATGGAGATCAAAAGTCAAAATCAAAGCTTTTTACTGTGAACCGAAGGCTTTATTAGCGGATGACTGGAGTCCAGGGGGCCACAGAGCGCTCCCTTCCACACAGATGAGCTGTGCTTTCCATGGCTTTGAGATCTCAAGTCTATGCTGAGCACTTGGGGGCCGACACCGAGCTAGCTAGCCTGTCCTTGAACGGAATGACCCCCGGGCTCCTCCCGTCCTGGGCCCAGAAGAGGACTCCCTCTGCCCATGGGACTTCCCTGCTCTCCCCTCCAGTGGCCTCTCTCTGGGTGGCAGGAGCCCTTGGGCCCAGGAAGGAGCTCGCCAATAATCCACATTCCCTTGAGGACTGAGATCTTCACAGACTCGTGGCTGGGGTCAGTGTCCAGGGCAGCTGGGCCCGCTCCATGGTGCCCTTGAACGTTATTAATAGGGCAGTGCTGGGCAAGGGTGCTGGGAGGCCGCGCAGACTTGCCACAGGGCCTTGCACACTGGATGACTTTAATACCCTTCCCTGTTCTTCACACCGTCATGGGTTCAGGGAGGCGCGGCTGGCTTGGCTACCCAGCAGAACTCACCTTCAGAATTTGGAACATATTTAAAAGTCCAGTTAAATCTGAAAACACCCAGCTGTCTGCTTTTTACATTTGTGAGATAAACAACTCTTATAAGATCCTTTCACAAAATATTCTTTCTTTCACTTTTTATATTTGGAAACAAAACCAACTTTAAAGTTGCAAGACATCTACAATGAATCTCAGTGGGCCCTCACTATTTTGAACATTTTGCTGAATTTTCTTTTGGCTAGTTCTTGGTGCACATATATCATCAGCACCATTCTTGCAGTTACGGAGCCATTTAGTGTACCTTGCAGACTTTGTGACCCTTTCGCCCCAAATCCCCAGCCTGGATCTTTTATAAACAAGGACATTCCCTTGCCAAAAAATGTTATTATTATTATTATTATTATTATTTTTAGGTAGAACAAGAGAAGGCTCTATTGAAGGCCATATAACCGAGGCTTGGGCCAGTTCAAAGCGCTGACCGGTGGTGGGGGGAGACTTGTTGCAGGTGTGAGCTAAAGGGGAAAAGGCGCAGAGCCCCCCGCGCATGTCTGGAGGACTTTTTGGTCGCAGGAAACATTTTTTCCCCATGTTCTCTCTAGACACATGAAATGAAGGCTGCATTCCCAAGACCTGGCTTGTGGCTTTAAAATAAAGAAAAATATTTTTACAGTATTCTTTTTGGAGGGATGAAAGCATGTATTTTATTAACATTTCCCAAACTCTTAAAAAAGAAAACAGCCTAAAAAGGTTCTTGGGCTGATACTATGCAGCCTGTATTGCAATTGAAGTACAGGCCGTTTTAGAAATTATACCTTTCAGCTAACTGAAGGGGAAAACTTTCCTTTCTTCTGTGACTCGTCACCTCTCCGCTGGAGAACTTGAAAATCCTTGCCTGGGACCAGCGCCGCAGGGTGACAGGGAGGTAATCTGGCTTATCTCGCCTAACGTGTCAATGAGTTTTGCAAGCAGTTTTTTTTTTGGGGGGGTGGGGAGCAGGTTTGCTTATTTGTGCTTTGGGTCTCATTCATGATACTGTATAGGGACCCTGCCAAGGGCAGGCGGTGGCGTGATGCCCGGGGAGGGGTACACTAGCAGTCTGGCCGCACTGGGGTGCGCGCACGCCTGGTTCCCCCCCACCCCCAGCTGTCTCAGGCTGTTCTGAGAGCCCCGGCCCTCCGAGGGGGCAGCCCCGTTCTCCCTGTGAGGAACCCAAAGGACTTGCTCAGAGCTGGAATTCGGCGAAGCAACTTGCTCCAACACGCCAAATTTGCCGCGTCCCCAATACCCCACCCTCCTCCCTCTAAGCTGGCTACCCACACCCCCAACCCCAACTTGAGGACTTCCCGCCCCCACTCTGCTGACAGTCTCGATTCTAACCCCTTGGATTCAAATGGTCTTTCGTTGGAACGCGCCCGCCGCGGCGAGGCCGCCAGTGACTCCCAGCGGCCGCACAGGGCGCTGCGCCCCCTCGCCCCGGCCCCCCCCCCCCCCCCGCCCTGCGTCCGCCCCGCCGCCCCCGCGCCGCCTCCTGCGCCGGGGCTGGAGGCGGATTCCTCTGTCCGGGTTTTCAGAGCGCCTTTCCGAAACCTCCTCCCCGCCCAGAGAGGGAGCGAGTTCCCGGGAGCAACGCTCCCCGGAGCGGCCGAGGGGCGCGCGGGGAGAGGCCTGCGCCGGGGTACTTTCAAACTGAGGCGCGCGCACACACTCACACCCACCCAGACACACACGCACGCACACACGCCCATTTATACAGGCGGCGGCGGCGGCGGCCGGAGCGGCGGCGGCGAGCGCAGAAATGATGGAGCTGAGCCCGCCGACCCAGGTTGGAAGCAAGTGAGGAGAGCCCAGGCGCACCCCGCGATCGCGGCGCCCCGCGCCTGTCATCCTCCCCAGGGAGCGGCGCCCCCGGACGGGGACTGGCTGGACGGACTCGCTAGGAGGAGGGCGGGGAAGAGGCGGCGGCCAGGTGAGCGGAGCAGCCCCCTGCGGATCCGGACGGCCAGGTCGCGCCTTCGCCCGACTCCTGACCCCTCGCCGCCCAGGTGGGCGCGCCGGCTGCCCGCTCGCCAGGGGCGCTTCGAGGAGACCCGAAAGTCGCGGCCCGGCTGCGCGGGATGCCTTTCGCCAAGCGGATCGTGGAGCCGCAGTGGCTGTGCCGGCAGCGGCGCCGGGCGCCCGGCCCCGCGGAGGACACCAGCGCAGGCAGCGCGGAGCCGCCGCCGCCCCTGCCGCCGCCGGGCCGACGGGACGAGGCCGCGGCGCCGGGGCCGGAGGAGCCTCCCCGCTCGCCCCCAGCGCCGCCCGGGCCGCCGCCGCCCGCGCCGCTCGACCCGGAGCACGAAGAGGCGCCGCCCGCGGGCGAGGAGAGCGCGGCGGGGCCCCCGGAGGCGGCGTCCGAGGCCGGCGAGGCGTCCTCGGCGGCGGCCGCGGCCGTGCTGCTCATGCTGGACCTGTGCGCCGTGAGCAACGCCGCGCTGGCCCGCGTCCTCCGGCAGCTCTCGGATGTCGCCCGGCACGCGTGCAGCCTCTTCCAGGAGCTCGAGAGCGACCTCCAGCTCACCCACCGCCGCGTCTGGGCGCTGCAGGGCAAGCTGGGCGCCGTGCAGCGCGTCCTCGGCACGCTGGACCCCAAGCAGGAGGCAGTGCGTGAGTAGCCGCCCGCCCGCCCGCCCGCCCTCGCGCCCTCGCGCCCGCCCGGGTCGCCGCAGTCCCCGCGCCGCGCCCGGCTCCTCACCCGGCGTCCCCGCGCCGCCCTCCCCCGGGACCCAGCGCGGCCCCCCGCGGCGAGGAGGGGCGGCCGGCCCCGGGAGGCGGGCGCGGAGGGGAGAAAGTTAAAGGGGCGGCCTCGGAACTCGCCGGCCGCCGCGGGCTGGGAGGGAGCGTTTCTGGGGCCCCGGGGGGGCCGCGGGCTCCGTCCGTCGCCGCGGGGGCTCGCCGTCCCCGCCCTTCCCCGGGGCGCCGGGGGCAGTGCAACATGTGCGGCCGGCGGGGCCCGGGCCGCCGCTCCCCGAGCCCCCCGCCCCTGGCCCCCGCGCGGGGGGTCTCGAGCGGTGGCGAGTGTCCTCCCAGGGCTCCTGCCGCGCCGCGGCGGCTGTGTCTCTCCCAGCGACCTCGGGCAGCGCCGGGCCCCGAACTTGCGCCTGGAGCTCGCGTGCGACCCGGTGCGGTGGGCTCGGCCGCTGGAGGGAAGGAACTCGGCAGCGCGCGGCCCGGACCTGCTCCCCCAGGGGGGCCGCGCGGGGCTGCGGCGGGAGCGGCGTCCCGGGCCCCGGGGAGGTCGAGGACACCCCTGGGCCTCCTTCCGTCCCGAGCCCCGCGGGGCGCTCAGAGGCGTCCCCCCTGCCGCCGTGTCCTGTCGCCTCGACCCGCCGGCGCGTGGGGCACCCCGGGCATCCTGTTAACTTCCCTCGAGACGCCCGGGGCCGCGGTGCCTGTCCTTCGGCGGCCGCCGCCTCCCCAGGGGCGCCGCGCAGGGTCCCCGGGCGGTGGGCGGGGGCGCTAGGCCGGGCGCGGGGCCGGGGCGCCGGGTCCGGCTGCGGCGCTCGCGGCGAAGGTGATGTCAGCGGCTCGGCCTTACATAAGGCGCTTCCCGTCGCTGCGGCGGCGGCGCCCGTGCGCGGGGCCCGGGGAGCGCGGGGCGGGGGCGCCCTTTCGGCCGGGTTCCCGGGGGATTTCCGGGCACCTCTGCCCCGCGAGGCCGCCCGCCGCCGCGCCAGCCCCCCCCGCCCGCCCGCCCGCCCGCGCCGCGCCCCCCCTCGGAAGAGCCCCTTGAACCCCGCCCGGGAATTCGCCGCTTTTCTGCAATAACAATAATAATAAGCGTAATGAAGAAATGATGTGCGCGAGCGCTTTTCGCAGCTATAAAAGACCCGGAGTTGGGTTCACGACTGCTGGTTTAAAAGGGCAGTTCCGGGGATGAGTTCTGGAAAGAATTAGGAGTGCCGCAGGCCAAGTCGTATTTTACTCCGGGGACTCGGAGGGAGCGCTTTAATCCGGCCCCCTTTTACCCCGAACCACACGGCGGGGCCGGGCCCTGCCCCTGCCGCAGCTCCCGGGTCTGCGGAGCGCGGTCGGCGGCAGCGCTGATTCCACTTCAAAAGAACTGGAGGGAAGTTTCGCAGACTGTTGTGTGCTGCAGGCGTGTCCCGTGCGCGCGCGTGTCCGCTCTTTCATTACATTTCACACAAGTGAAACTCAGGGCCGGGCCGTGTGCCCTCCCCCCTGGGGAGAGGCGGCCGCGGGCGCTTCTAGACCTGCAGTAAACAGACCTTTCGAGTCCTTCTGCGCGCTTGGGGAGCAGACGAATGGGCGATGGAGAAAAGAGGGTGCCCAGTGCACACACACGGTTGACGCCCCCTCTTCATGCGCCCTCCTGGCGGATCGGTAAGTGGCAGCGCCTGGTAAAACACCCAGGGGGGGATGCACTTCAAGTCTCTCATTCGTTTTAAATTTTTCCCAAACGTAATCCCCACACTTGCTGCGCAGATCTGTCTCTTGTTCATGAAAGTTAGCATGGCATTGTTCCTGTTCGAGGTCCTGAGAGCAAAGGCACATGCTTATGTGTCTTTCTCTGGGTTTTCTGCAGTGTAGAGACAGGGACCAGGGCTTCTGTGCAATAGCTTATTTGAGAGGGGCCCGGAGCACAGGCAGGGAATGGGGTGGTGAGGCCCACCCACGCAGGAGCTGGCACCATGGTGGTCAGCAGGACTCACTTCCACACACACCGCAGAATGGTCCATGGAGGAGTGAGGAAGCTGGAGTACCCGCCCTGCCAGGCCTGCCTCCCCTCACTGGTGGAAAGTAGCACCTGGGGCATGGACCCAGTGTCCCTGGGGGCTGCTGACCATGAGGGCTCAGCCTGCTCCCAGGGCCAAGTGGAGAAGTGCCAGCAGCTGTGCTGTGGACAGCGGTGTCTGCCAGGGAGCTCTGGGGGACAGCAGCGGGCGGACCCTGGTGGCATCTGCTACAGTGTACATCTCCCTTCCTCAAGGACCAGTGCCCCAAGTGCCCCATGTTTCCTTGGCCCCCCCTGGCAGGGTGTCTGAGTGCCTCTACACCCTCCCCCGTGCCTTCCCACCCAGCCCACCACTCCCCAGGCCGCCGCCTGCGGCTGCATCCTCACACAGCTGCTTCCTGTTGCCCTGACATGAGACTGGCCGGTTTGTTTTTTATTTTTATTTTTCTCAAGGTTGACTTGGCGTGATGTGCACTTTAGCCAAGTCGCTCCGGAGGCAAGTGTGGAGGCCCCTTAGCAGCGAGATAAGTGACCACGGTCAAGGAGAGTTTCCTAAAAGTTGTTGCCATTTAGGCACACTTAGATCGCGCAGAGAGAGGGGCTGGAGTTAATGGCGCTGGAGAAAGAACTGCGGCCCTGGAGCAGCTGAGGGGACGGGCCTAGTGGACCCTTTCACCCACCAGAACTGGAGGGAAGACAGGAGGTACAGGGGGAGGGTGGCTGGGCCGCTGCGCCGAGGGTAAGGGGGGATCACATCTGTTTCTGAGGTGCAGGGGAGGCCTTAGGCCAAGTGTTGGCAAAGTGAGGAGAGAAGGCAAGGCGTTAACGTTGTCTCGGGGAGGGAGGGACCGTGAGCCCAGTAAGGAAGTGTGGGGTGTGGGGGGATGACCTGGCTGGGTTGAGAGTCTTCGGAGATTTTGGGTCATAAACCTGAAGTGAGTCCAGCTTTTCAGTCACTAAAACCTGAGACCCATTTCATGGGCCTCCACCCTAAGCTGTTCATCCGTAGACATTATAATGTCGTTGTCTTCTTAGTTGCTGTTGATTCTGTCTAGTTACTGAGATTTAAAGTAAATTTTATGTTGAAGTTTCAATTTAACGTTCCCACAGAAAAATGCACAGACCATCAACGTGCAGCTGGGTTCATTTTCAAAGTGGGCACTCACGTGACCATCACCCAGCTCAAGCTGTACCCTGAACCTCCCCCCCAAGCCTTCACCAGTCACTGTCCTCCTACCCAAAGGTGGCCGCTCTCTTCATTTCCTCCTCCATCAACTAGATTTGCCCATTTTTTAACGTTATCAAAGTGGAGCCAGGGCGCGCGTGCTCTTGTGTCTACCAGTACTGACCCAATGTTTTGTTTGTAAGATGCGTCCGCGTTGCACGTCCAGGAGACTGTTCTTTCTCGTTGCTGAATAAAATTCGTTGTGTGCCTGGTGCACAAGCCGTTGACCCATTCTGCTGATGGCAGACATTGTTGCTTCCCCTTGACCGGCTTTTGCCAGTCATTTTTCTGCATGCCTTTTGAAGAGCTTGTGTACCCACAGATGTTTGGTGTGGATCTCAAGTTGGAATTGCTGGATCCAAGGGGATGGATATGTTTGGCTTTAGCAGCTACTGCCTAACAAAATTCTAAACTGGTTGCACCCATTTATACTCCTAGAAGTGTATGGAAGTTTTGGTTGCTCTACATCCTCACCGGCACTGGTACTGTCTTTTTCATTTTAAATTACTCTGGCGGGTGGGTAATAAAAATCTCACTGGTTTTAATTTGCATTTCCCTGAAGGCTTGTGAGCCTGAGCACCTTTTCATGTATATTTTTGAGCATTTGGATGTTCCCTTTTGTGAGTTACCTGTTCAGGACTTTGCTCATTTTTCAATAAGATTCTTTGTACCATTTCTGACTGTCTTGTAGGTGTTCTTTGAATATTGTATATCTGAGTTATTTGTGAGCTCTAGGTATTGCAAATACCTCCTGTCACTCTGTGGCTTGCTGTTTTACTCTCTTAGTGTACTCCAGTGTATCAATCCTTTTCCTTATGATTAGTGGTTTGTGTGCACATGTGTGTGGATGTGTGTTCTATCCTGTTCTTAAACACATTCTTCACTGACCCCAAGGTCATGAGGATATTTTCCTATGTTCTAGAAGATTTTTGTTTTGCCTTTGTCATTTGGAGCCACAGTTCATATGGAACTGCTATTTGCAAATGGTGTGAGGTAGGGGTGAAGATTTTTTTCCACATGGATGCACAACTTACCCATTTCTACTTACTGAAAAGACCATCATTTCCCCATTGCACTGCAGTGACACCCTTGTCATCTATTGAGTGAATTGATTTTCTCAGCTCACATTTATTCAGTTCTGCTATATGTCAGGCCCTGTGCTAAGATCTTTATATATATTGCCTTATTTAATCTTTGCAATAACTCTATGGGAGAGGTACTGTTATTTTTCAACTTTACTAGGGGTTAGCAATAAGCTGGAGGTAGTTCTAGAAAGTTCTGGAATGTAGAATTAGGATCCAGGTCTGGAGCCACCAGGTATATTCCCAAGCACTAGACTTTCCTCTCATGCATTGCCACACAAGTACTGGGGAATTACTATATTAAAATCAAGGCACTTCTCTATATGCACCTATGCACTGGACAAACTTCATCTCTTGCTTTTCTACCCATGGTCCTCCCTTCCTTTTCCCCCTTCCACCCCAATCCAGTTCTATATGCCAGTCATCTTGAACTACTGGATGTTCCCCAACTTGCCAGCCTTTCTCATTCTTCATGCCTATGTGTATACTACTCTTTCCTTCTGGAACATTTTCATTGGTTAATTCCGATGCATTCTTTGACACTCAGTGGACATATCATCTCTGGAAGTGGAAACTGATTCCTTGCCCACCGCCTCCCCACCTA